GTGGCCCATGGTTTTCGGCTCTCAAAAGAAATTTCAATCGTACTGTTGATATTTGGCTCTGTTGACTAATGAGTTTGCCGTCCACGGCCCTAGGGTCCTGGTGATATGTTGGAGCAGTCAACATGGTATCCCTGCCATGTGCCTTCTCCCTGCCTCAGTGCTACCCTCCCTCTCGACCATTGTCGCACGGGGAATTCCCAATGAGCAGTTTGCCAAGGAGGTAAAAAGTCAAATCTGCTTTATAGCTGGCTCTGCAAGTTTTGCTGGAATTTAATTGCTGGGGAATTTTGGCCCCATGAGCTGAGGGACAGTGGAGAAATGAAACCTTCCCAGAAATGACTCCACATGGTACACTTTGCTGAAGGAAAGGAGGTCTGAGAGGCAGATGCTCCCCATGGCATGGACACTAGCTACCTGTCTGCAAGGAATGTCAGCAACATAAAGGATGTCTGAGGAAGAGGACTATGGATGGACATCTCAGGCCCAAGGACATTTACTGTCGGGGAGGTCTAAGTGTGCAGGAAGAAGATTGCCTGCCTGTGTCTGTCCCTTTCCCCAGCCACCCTCACTCAGTGGCCTCATGAACAAAGTGGCCATGGTTTCAGGGACAGAGAGAATGCTTTGGCCCAATAAGGACTTCTCCTCACCAAGCCTGGTTAATTTTCAGCAGCAATAACTAACTCTGAGACTTGTTATAACACCACATCAGGAGGGAAATTGTAATGGAGGCTCTTCCCTGGGGAGAGGGCAATGGTTTGTCTTCACTGGAAAAACGACTCTTTCTTGAATTGATTCTCAGGTCAGCAACACCTTTCATGGACTTAACCAAATTGCCTTATTCACTATCATTTCTTTCCACACAACAATGCTTCTCACAGTGATGCGAGACAATAGACCGGCTTGCCTCGAACAGAGGGTCCTGTGGCTTGGTGGAACAGCCCATTAAGCACTCCATCTATGGTGCCAGCACAGAGAGAATTCCTTGAGGGTGAGATGCCTCCCTACAAGATGCTGGGTGTACTATGACCCAGCGACCAATAGATGGTGCTCTTTCTCTCAAAGTCAGAATAAAGGCCCAAGGGGTGAAAGTGGAAGGGGTACCTGTTACCAAATCATGTATTACAGATTACCTCTAAGTGAGCACTATAATGGGACCTACTTTCTGGAAGGATGATGGCTGAAGCATCTGGCCTTTGTGTCAGCAGGGACAGAGCAGCATGTAGGGCTCACCATCAATGGTGCACGCTATGGTGTGAGTGCCTAGCACAGGCTGCGATGGGTCATATGGTTGGATGGTGTTTCTGTTCAGATAGCCACCCAGACTAGTTTGCTGGCCCTCTTGAACATCTTAACATATTTTTTTCTTTTTAAATATATTTTAGTGATTTTCTACAGAGAGGAAGAGAGGGATAGAGAGTTAGAAACACCGATGAGAATCATCGATCAGCTGCCTCTTGCACACCACCTGCTGGGTATGTGCCCGCAACCAAGGTTCGTGCCCTTGACTGGAATCAAACCTGGGACCTTTCAGTCCACAGGCTGACACTCTATCCACTGAGCCAAACCGGTTTCGGCATCTTAACATTTTTAATTAAACGCCTTCATCGCTAAACTTCCTGGAGTAGATTCTGTTCATTATAACTGGACACCCTGTCCCTCACACCTGGGTTATGGAAACACACTCCTTTTGTGCAGGCCTATTTCATGTTCCGATGGTGTCACCTCCCAAGTACTTTTAACGTTTTGGTCTTACAAAGATTTTGAACAATACATTTTTTTTTTTTTTAATTCTGTGACTAAGCCTTACATCTTTAAGAAGAAATATGTACGGGGATGAACACCTTTGTGTATGTAACCACGAAGCAGCAAACGGCAGGTAGAAAAACATGCTTCTTCAGTGACTCAAATGACAGTGGAGATTATAAGAGGCAGCGGTTCTAATTATCTCAGTGTATTTCATAGAATTAAGTCATGGTTTTAGTTTCGCTGGGATATCTTTAATATCACGTATATAAGACAAAAAAGCTTTGGGACCACTTTCCAAAATTTAAGGTTATCTTATAGTTGGAGTAGTTTATAATATTTTTCCTTTGGCACCAGGTGTGTGTGTCACATAAGAACAATAAGTAGTTTTCAAACTAATTAAAACCAGCTCCTATTAGAAGAGAACCAAGGCCTGAATAAAATCACGCTAGAGATAGCTGTCAAGGAGACAGCGACTTTCTCCATAAGAATGCCAAGTCTCATCAAGGATTCAAAATACATTGATTTTTCAAGAGGAGCCCCTCACTTAGATACCAGAGAAATATAATTGTTCAAGGAGCTGTGAAAGAAAGCCTTTGGGCTAAAATTAGGTGAGATGCAAGGTCTTCAGAAAGATATCCTGGTAACTGAGAAATCTCAAGTATTTTTTAAAAATATATTTGATTGATTTTTTACAGGGAGGAAAAGAGAGGGATAGAGAGTTAGAAACATCAATGAGAGAGAAACATCAATCAGCTGCCTCCTACACACCTCCTACCGGGGATGTGCCCGCAAACAAGGTACATGCCCTTGACCAGAATCGAACCTGGGACCCTTCAGTCTGCAGGCCCAAGCTCTATCCACTGAGCCACACCGGTCAGGGCATCAGGTATTTTTATGCTTATTATACCAACACCACTTTCCCCTAGCATTTCTGGCCTTTTCAATTCTCTCATTCTTTCACTCATACATTTACTCTATCATTCATCAAGCATTTACTGAATACTTGCTATGTGTCAGGCTCTGGGGATGCTCTTTGATAAACTGGTCTTGATGGAAATGTTGCTGTCTTGGCTTTTTAGGAAGAGGAAATCATGGATGGGAAGGTGCCAGTCGGAAGTCCAAGTATGTGAGAGATAGGATTATTTCTGACTTCTGGAAAGTGGAGCGATGAAACCCCTCTCAAAAATAAATAAATAAATAAATTAATTAATTAATTAATTAAAATAAAATAAAAAAAAGCTTGACAGAGAAAGATGAGCAGAGCCCAGGAAAATAAGATTAAAAAGTAAGGGATTTGTTGGGAGTTTAAAGAAACAACTGAAAACTTGCCTAGGTGCTTGAAGAGCTAAGCTTTACATCAGACAGGCTCATTCAAGAGAATCAGGAGGTCGGAAGTATAAGTTTGCCACCTGAGTGCCAGTCATTTGATATTGTCAGTTTTCATCAAGTTCCTTCAGCAGGAACTGCCTGCTCAAGAGTGTGACAAATGAGAGCAATTACTCTGGGTCCCCTTTCTGCCTGCCCCCCTGTCTCTTACACTTTCTGTCTACCTTTTAATGGCCATCCCTCCGGCTGCCCTTTGGTGACTCCTACCCTTGAGATGCCTGGACTGTTTGAGATGGAGTTCAGCTTGGAAGAGCATGCATCTGAACCATGTATTCTGTCAAGGGGCCCCAAATCCCCAGTCCTGGACTCTAGGTGTTAGTGTTAGAGAGTGAAAAGGTTGGAGCATGCTTCCAGAGAGGCCGTGGACTGTGCCCCAGATAGAGTTATCAGTACTGACACCAGGCCAGGCCTTGAGATACGGTCTCATGGCCCCTTCCCAGCACGTAGGCCTTCTTTCAAGGGCAGAGCAGGACTGACTCCGTTTTGTACTGTGTCTTCCATCTTGTATAAAATATATCAATTACCCAACCCACCCTTAAATCAGCCAATAGAAATATAGAGGGAAGTAACCCAGTGTAACCAGACCCTGCTAATCAGAACCAGCCAACTCAGTGATCCGAGCATCATCCCACCACCAAACCCTAAACTCTAAAAAAGACCACACTTTCAGAGCTCAAGGCTCTCTGCATCCTGCCACTGCGTCGGTAGAGGTAGGGAGACTAGGCTCGAGTTTGAATAAAGGCTCTTTTGTTTTTGCATCGGACTCAGCTCCCTGGTGGTCCTTAGGGATCTTGAAATCTGGGCATAACATTAGGACAGGAGAAAAAAAAAAGGGGGGGGGGGGTTCTTTTATTTGGTGAGGCCTTCCACAAGCACCTGGTAATTAAACCCCACGATTGTTAACCTCTCTGACTCAAACAGCCCCTGTGTTCTAACTGCAAGACAAGACGAGCTACTTTCAAGGCTACATTCCTGCAAGCCCTTTTCCCCTGCTGTTTTTTACAACTCAGGGATAATTCACACCGAGGAGTCTCTAGTTAGTAAAAAATTCTCTTCCCTCTCCCCTTCAAACAAGCCTTCTTTGAATTCTTCATAACTTTTGCCCTAAGCATGTTTTTCAGGCTTAGGAAAAACACTGATGAGACGCCTCCCTAGAACATCTTCCTGGACTGTTTCCTACAAAGCAAACAAACTTTTCAAGACAACCCCCCTTGATGCCTACTCAACTTCAGCCCAGGGTTCCCTTCCCTTCCTTGTTGCTTAGCAACAACCAGGGCTTAAAAGGGGAAGCTGCCCACCTATCGATTAGCAATGCATAGGCATAGGCCTTCTCCTTTTGGGGAAACTTCCTCTCTGAATCTATCTCTTCTCTCAGTTGTGAATTCTTTCATAGCCCATGTCACCAGCCAAAACCCTAACACGGGGTATTAACATGGGAACCGGGGGAAATTAATTCACCGGACCAGAGGATTTTTTAGTTATTGTTTTTCTGTAAGTCGTATCACTTTCCCGCTCCAAAGCCTCCAATCACTTTCCATTTTACTCAGAATAAAACTCGAAGTCTTGAGCTGGCTCTTGATCCCCCTCTAATTTCATCTCTGACACTCTCCCTTCTGTTCTGCCCTGTTGCTGACCATGGAATATACACAGCTCAGACCCATATCAGGCCTTTGTCCTTGCTATCCCTTCTCCCCTGGACACTTTTCCACATACCTGCATTGCTCAGGCTCTCTGCTCAAATGCCCCTATTAGCAAGGCCATCCCTGGTCTCCCTATCCAAAAGAGCCATCCCCTCACCCTGCACATGCTATTCTAGAGGTCTCCATTTCCCCTTCTAGCACCACCACCGTCTGCTTATTGTCTGTCCATTTGCATTACAGTGATAGCTCTTACAGGGAATGGCTTCCTTGGTTTGCTCACTGATTGTCCCCTGCACTGAAGTCAGTCTCTGGCATATACTAGGCACTCAGTACAGGTCAGGTAAACCAATGGCCACATGCAGATGACTTCACATGGTCTCCTCCAACCAAATGGACGGAGACAGAAAGTCCCAGGATGCTAGACTGAGTTCCCTCTCGTTTGGATCAAATGTATGCATTCCAGTGTCACAAAGGAAAAAAATAAAACATTTTCAACTGCTAAGGCCCAAAGGAAGATTTCTTTTCCCTTTTTTCCTTTGTGACATTGAAGCCTATGGAATCATGCAACAGAGAACCAGTTGCTCAGTCATTACTAGGTAAAAGCTTGACATTTTCCGCGACACCCTTTGTGATTGTGTAGGCGTATCACTGATTGCTTTAAAAACTAATGAAATTGTGCTCAATTCCAGCTTAACCCATTTCATTCTTCACTTGTCTGGCTTCCTGCAGGACCTGCTTTTCTGTGGGTGTTTTTTTTTTATATGTTTGTGGGAGGGAGTCCACGAGTCCCGCTCCATGTGGTCCCACGTGGCTCCAGGTGGCTCTTTATCCCTGAGCGGCCTTACTCCAGCTCACTTTCACTTCAGTTCTCCTAACACCATTCTTCACCCCTGTGAACACCCTTTACTCTGTTACTTTATTGGGAAAACCCTTTAAGAAGTGGCTCATTCTTTAAATCAATACTGCATTAATCACGTGTTTTATCTCCCCCGGTTTACTTTTCACAGTTGGTTTAGTTTCGACTCCCGGGTCCATTTTATGTGAGGGACAGGTTGCTGTACGCGAGTGATTTACTGTAGCCACAGCACAGGCACATAAAGCAGGGGCTGCTGCTCCATGGATACGTTTGCAGGAGTGCAGGTGCTTACTCATTTTTGCCAACCTCAAACCCCGGTTAGAGCATCGGCTGGGGAGTCAGACACCTTGCTAGAGACTGGCTGGGAGACCCTGGTGAATGCCCAGTCTCAGTGACCTCCATTGTTGACAGGAATGACAGTCAGAACCTTCAGATACCGCCCCGTCTTGAAGTTTTGTTAGTTTTTTTTAAATCATCATCATCATCATTATTATTATTATTAAAAATGTATATATCTTATTGATTTTTCTACAGAGAGGAAAGGAGAGGGATAGAGAGTTAGAAACATCGATCAGCTGCCTTCTGCACACCCCCTACTGGGGATGTGCCCACAACAAGGCACATGCCCTTGACTGGAATCAAACCTGGGACCTTTCCATCTGCAGGCCGGAGCTCTGTCCACTAAGCCAAATTGGGGGGGTGATCGCCAAACACCCTCGGAAGGCACATCAACCCATGACCGTCTCCAGAGATTAGGAAGAGATGGACTTCCAAGGCCATGCAGGAAGACAGTCACTAACCAGGACTGAAATCCACGAGTCTCTGAGTCCTCATTCTCTCTCTAACCACAAAGTGATCTAGCCTTTTTTTTTTTTTTTTTTTTTTTTTAATAATAGCTTTCATTTAATAGTTTTTTAAAAGCCAACGGGAATGCTTTCACGGGGCAAAGTAAGGAAGACCTACCCACTTAAATATTAATCTTTCAGCAGCCCTGGTGACAGGGGAATTTCTTAAAATGCTCTGGAGGGGGAGTGCCAAGAAGTTAATTAAAATTGCTGTCATACCTTTAGGCTACTGCAGAGTACGGGGTCTCCTGAAGGTCAGCCACATGAGGAGCGGTTCTGTGCTTATAAAAATAGGCCTGGCATTCTTTACGGAATTCCAAAGGGCCGTGTGTGCTCCGGTTTAGAAACATCGTAGCTTGATTAAAAACTGCAAAGCAGTCACTTCCAAGGGCAACCATGAAAAATGAAGGGGAATGAGAAGCTATCCAGATGTATACAATTTTGAGAAATAAGCCCGGATATTGTTTTAAAATGCACTATTGGTATTTTTCCTGGGTCTCAGGTAACTGATCCGTATCTTTTACCGGAGAAAGTGGAGCGATTGGAGTGAACAGGCCAGAATCCAAACCTTGGCTCTGCCACTTATTGCCCGAGGGAAGGTTATTTAACCTCTCTGAGCCTGAGTTCTCCATCCATAAAGAAGGGGTGTGTGCAAAGAGCGTGGCTTGGGAGAGTTACAGAGGAAACGGGGAGTCAGTCCTTTGGGCTTCTCATCAACACCGAGGGACAGAACTGGAGAGAGGACTTGAGGATGAGGGCTTTCTTTTCCATTTCTTTGTATCTAACCTTGACAAGAATGAAGGAGACCTGGCAATTGACAGGAATGGGACTCTTGCACCATCCTCTTAGTGCTTTAAAAGAGGTGTGGCCGAGACCGGTGGATAGAGCCTGTGGACTGAAAGGTCCCAGGTTCGATTCTCATTAAGGTTGCAGGCACATCCCCAGTTGGGGGGTGTGCAGGAGGTACCTGATCGATGTTTCTAGCTCTCTATCCCTCTCCCTCCCTCTCTCTAAAAAAATCAATAAAATATATTTAATAAATAGATAAATAAATAAATAAAGAGGTGCGTGTTGTGTGTTTGTTTAAGCACCCAAGAGAGTCTAAAACTAAGGGTTAGGGAGAAATGCAAAGACCTTACCAATGAATGCCGATCTCTGGGTTCCTTTTGCGTTCTTATGTCTAACAGCTTTAACAGGTGTGATAAGATGGGATGTGAATTACCTGTGAGGGATGAGTTTGAGGCCCACTGAAGCCAATGAGTGAAGTTTAGTTCAATCACAGCCAAGTTTCTAAAGCAAGTATTTGTGCTATCATCACAGCCCACATGACTGACGGGCAAAGTCTTGGGGATACAAATAAAAGGTGTTTTCTGATTCAAGGACTAAAGGTCCTGAGCTTGACTCCTGGTTGTGACTGTGAGGCCCCTTTTGTGGTCTGGGAGCACGAGTCCCTGGCCTCCTTGTCTGGGACAAGACTTTCAAAGGCCCCCATGAGTCCTTATAGCAAGGCTTCAATGCGCTTCCCAGAATTCCCAGAGGATGGCACTCCACAGATAGAACATTTCCTAAAGAGCCTGAGGGCATGATTCTTGCACCCTCACAGCCCACACTCATGGTGGTGGCATCATCAGATGGCCATGCAAGGGAAGCAGATCATAAGGAAGGGAGTGGTCTGTGGATTTTGTGAGTGTTGGCAACACCAGTCCTAAGACATGATTGGGGCTGAATGAAAGCTGACAATAGTCTAACTGGTGTGATTTAAGCTGGGGGTGAGCTGTGTGTGACATCTGCCTTTCCCATTCACTCATAATTACTACATTCTTTCCCCCAGGCCTGGGCTGAAGTCTTCCCAGTCACCAGTAACTGACCAAATTCACCTTCAAGCTGAATCCTATTTGCCAGCCCTGGTAGAGGCAGCTTCTGGAAAACAACTACAAACCAAAAAGGGTGAGGCTGGCAGTTGGAAAAGTTAGAAGGAGCACTGGGGTCATTGAATCTCAACTACAGCTTTTCAACCCTGAGTGAGCGCCACTCAGTAAAAGATAAATGCCATCTTATGAGACACTGGATTTACCATGAATTTAATATTTTTCCCCTTTTTTTATTTTTCAAGTTATCTTATCCCCTCTTTTACACAAGAACCATATTGCCTTAGTAAATAACACAGCTCTAAAAATTGCTTAGTTGTCATTTTAAATCATGCCCCTACCCTTCTCCCCCTCTTTCCCTCTAATTTTCAAACAGGGCTTGTCAATTCCATCTAGAAAATATATCCGCCCACTTCTCTCCACTTCCTCTCTACCTTCTCAGTCCAGTTGTGTTGCCTGGATTTCTAGAACACCCTCTTCCTACCTAGCTTGTTCGCCTCCATTCTTGTCTTCTTCCAATCCATTCTCTATCCAGTGCAACAATGACACTCTTTTTTAAAAATATATGTATACTAGAGGCCCAGTGTATAAAATTAGTGCACAGGTATAGTTCCTAGGCCTGACCTGCAATCAGGGCCATCTCCCCTGGCTGCCAGCAGCCAGCCCTGCCCCCTACTCCTCTAGCCGCCACCTATCCCTGTTCTCCATTCCCCATTGGGCGATCAGAGCCTGCTGGCTGGAGCCAAGAGGTTGGCCATTCCTGACTGCTTGCCAGCCCTGCCCCTCACTGCCGGTCACTCTCTGTGAGTGGAGCAACCGGTGTGGCAGGGGCCTTGGCCTGGCACCGCCCGCGTCTGCCACTGCCCACCTCCGGTTCCCCATTCGCCATTGGGCGATCTGAGCCTGCCGCCTGAGGGAAGGGACTGAGAGGTTGGCCGAGACATTGACCAGCAGACCCCTATCTGGCGATTGGAGCCTGTGGGCTGGGGGCAGCTCCTGCATTGAGTATCTGCCCCCTGATGGTCAGTGCACATCATATTGGCCTGTCATTCTGCCGTTTGGTCAATTTGCATATTACCCTTTTATTATATAGGATTTTTTTTTATTTCAGAGAGAGGAAAGGAGAGGGAGAAAGAGAGAGAGAGAGAAACATCAATAATGAGAGAGATTCGTAGATCAGGTGCCTTCTACATGTTGCCTTCTTGGAATAGAGCGCACAACCCAGGCACGTGCCCAGACCGTAAACTAAACTGTGACCTCCAGGTTCATGGGTCAACTTCCAACCACTGAGCCACACCAGCCAGGCAACATTGACTTTCTTAAAGTGGGAATCAGATCACATCACGGTCCTTCTTTAAACACTGTCACTGCTTTCCATTGCCGGGATAAAACCCAGCTTTCTCACAGCAGTCAGCAAGCCTCGGCCTATCTTAGCAACCTCACCTGTTCCACTGCCTCTGCTCTCTCCATCCAGCCCCATGGTCTCCTCTGAGTTTCTGTTTGTAGAGAGACTCTAAGATAGGGGTGTCGAACTCAATCAGAGAAGGGGCCAAAATCTAAAATCCAGCCTAAATCGCGGGCCGAATGGTTTACTGAACAGTCATAAACTGTCATTGTGATGGAAACGCAGCGGAGTGCAGTGATGACAGTGCGGTGCGGGCCACATTGCAAGGCCTGGCGGGACAGATTTGGCCCGTGGGCCTTGTGTTTGACACATGTGCTCTAAGAGAACGCCGAAGGCAACCCACAAGTAGCCCAAGGTCTTACATATAGCAGGGAGTACTTTACAAAACTTACATGCTCATGGGGGAAAATTAGGCAATAAAGACAGAAAATTGTCTTACGTTATAGCCAAGCAATTTGTTTTCCTCTCAGAAGCTTCAAGAAGACATATTCCAATAGTTTCAAGAACAATTAGAAATCTTGCTTTGAAGGTTGGCAAAAATATAGGCTGCATATAGAGAGGAAATATATTGGCTAGCCATGTTCCCGGCATGCAATGGGGTGCCCTGAGCATCTTCGAGCATTGGTGATTGCCCTGCAGCAAGAACTTCCTCTCTTTCTGGTCAAAGGACAGGAGCCCGGAGAAATTCAAATAATTCCATTTAAATGAGCTCTTGGTCAGTAGAGCTCTTTGCATTATAAAGGCAGTCATTTCTGAAGCAGTCCTCTCAGAATTCCAATTAGAGATTTAAAACATACCCGAACATAAACGGGAAAGCTTCTCAATTGAGGTGTAAAACCACACTGGGGTTACTAACTTAATGCTGTTGGAGCCATCAAATAAATGTTCCATAGTGCTCAGTTCATAACACATTTCCAGTTATATCTGGGTTAGTTTGGGTTAATAGCCCCTTTAATTATTCCGACGAAGCTTACTTGCTTGCCAAGCTATATTCTCATTCCATTTAGCCTAGTTTACTACTGTATATGTTTTTATGGGCTCCCTAAAACTGGCGCTAAGGGAGTGAGTTGTGCCCAGGGAAGAGTTTATCTTTGTGGCTCTGAATCCATGCCCTGGTTCCACAAAGATGCCTGAGCACCCTCCGGTTTTCAGGGCGAAGCTCTGGAGACCATATATGAACAAGGGAGTTTCCACCTTCCAAGGATCTTTGATCCCGTTAGGGGTGAACAGGTGATTGGGATACAGGCTTCCAGGGGGGGTTGTGCTGAAGCTGAGGCACAAGGGAAAGTCATGTGAGCCAGGCAGAGGAGAAGTGGGCGACCCCAGCCTCAGCACCGCCCTGGAGGCAGCGAGGAGGCGGCATTGGCATCCGCATGCACTGGTCTCCATGGCGTTGTTGATCTTTACCTCGTGCCCTCCTGAGTCCCCAGGATCCCGTGCTCTTCACCTTTTCCTCAGTAACTGCGGTTTACCTGTGCGGTACACCTTTGTCGTTCTCAGGCTTAAATTTCAAATGGGAAGTCTTTAAGAGAGTAAAAAAAAACAAAAAAAAAAACACACCAAGTTCATGGACTCTTTATGTGGCTGAGGATATATGAAATAAAATGTACAGCCAACGAAAATGTCATTCAAAAGCAACATTTTACTATGTCAACTTACTTGAATCCTGGATTTATGAAAACATTTGGGGCTGGAAAGATCTCATTTTTCACTTGTACTTTAGAGCATTTTATATTACAATAAACTTCACGAGGGCAAGAACCTTTGTCTGTTTTGCTTTTTGGATGTTTCCAAGTGCCTGGCACAAGGTAGACAGACATTCAGTAAATATTTGTTTAAAGGTATAGTAACTTTTATGGAGAAATAACATTTTATGTAGGTTTCCCACATCCTGGACTCTGGACTATGAAGGGTCCATGGTGTTCCAATGAGGGAGGTGGGAGGGTTCCCTCAGAGTAGGCAGCAATGGTTCTAACGTTGCAAACAAACCAAGAATGACGTTGTCAAAAGGCGGGGCCTGTGGGCCTATACGAAAGCCTTCTCTCTCTCTCTCTCTTTTTTTTTTTTTTTTTTTTTTTTTTTTTTTTTTTTTTTTTTGGTAAATGTTGTCCATATACGCCGGAACCGGTTTGGCTCAGTGGCTAAAGCGTCAGCCTGCAGACTGAAAGGTCCCAGGTTCGATTCCGATCAAGGTCATGTACCTTAGTTGTGGGCACATCCCCAGTAGGGGGTGTGCAAGAGGCAGCTGATTCTCTCTCATCGATGTTTCTAACTCTCTATCCTTCTCTCTTACTCTCTGTAAAAAAAATCAATAAAAAATATATTTTAAAAAAAATGTTGTCCATATACGGCACGTTGACACCATTCTTAGTTTACAATCCCAGGAGTTCTGTAAATCCACTCTCTAGTCAAAGCTCTATCTTGCAGCACTGGTGGGATTTGCCCTCAGTTATCATTAAAGATTCCCTTGCACAGGTGTGCCAATGTCTCTGGGCCTACTGAAGGTCAGGCTGGCTATCACTGAGAAACCCTTTATTCCAAGGCTTGGTCCCTCCCGACCCACTGCTCACAGCTGGGGTGTGAGAGCCCTGGTACCAAAAGCCCAGAATCCTTGGACACCCCACACAGCCATTCCCTCTGAGGCCCTGACGTCCCCAGAAAGGGACCAGGCCCGGAGCGGGTCTGCCTCGCTCAGGCTGGCCTGGGATGTGCAGGTTCTTGACTTTGTGCAGGAAAGATTTTACAGCAAAAGTCCAGGAGACTTGGAGAATGAATGCCTTCATTAAAGCGGGGAGTGGGAAACCAAGGAAGGGCCAGAGATAGAAGCAGCAGCACGAGAGAGCCCAGCTGGGGCTGCTGGGGCTCTCTAGAGACATCTGAGAAAAGGGGCCTGGGAGACAGGTTCAGGGCGTTAGCCCAGGGCCAAGCTACCACTGCCCGTTGCTCCCCTGGTCTCCTGGGGACCCTTAGCATTTAGGAGACAGAAAAGGTGTGGGCATGCTCCTGAGAAAGCCCACAGGACACCCTTTGTTTTAAGGCTTTTCTCTCTTTTTTGGGCAGGAACACTGCGGTGGGGGGGGGGGGGGGGTGTCACCTCAGCAGATTATTCATCAGTTTTTCAAGTGTGCTTTTAAATTATATGTTGATGTACCAAAATGTGCGCATAGAGGGACCAGGGTCATTTTCTGGTCAGCTCTGCCTGTATCTTGAATTTGTTTTGTTCTCATTCTTTGTTTTGTTTTGTTATTTCCCCCCTGTCTTTATCAGTCCATGGACGTGGCTGCCACAAAATGGTACTAATTAGGTCTCTGTTATCTATGTCCCTGACGGGGTGATTTAGGCTGTTTACGCTGTGGTCGGGGGTGGGTGGAGGGGAGGGGAGGGAGGGGAAGCGCAAATTATTTGCTCTCAAGTGTCCTTGGTTTAGGGAAGATAAGGTCTTGAGATTCCCTAACTGGCTGTCAATTGTTTGACTTGTTTGGCCCCATTTGTCTAACCAACTGTCTCAGTTTCCCTTTTCTGACGGTCCAACGTTCTCTGAGCATCTAACTCTCCTGCCTCACTGACACCGTCACATCACGGGGCGTGAGGCCCGCCTCCGCACGGGGCTGCCACCCTTTTCTCTTTCCAGCCTCTGGGATGCCCTTGAACTCCGCTAACCCACGGTCAGTCCTCTGGCCTGGCCTCCCTCCTGGACCCACGGTATCCTCATGCAATGAGCTCAGCTGCTTCTGCTTTCTGTTTGGCAAAACACACACACACACACACACACACACACACACACACACGAAAAAACAGCCCCTGAGGCAAAGAAATACAGTCTGGCTACAGGCATGCAACTAGCAGTGGGCCAGAGAGAACAGAAGGAGAAAAACAAATCGCCTCCATAAATTATTCTGGCCCACTCAGGACTGCAGCGGCCATTTCAATCATCTTCATTCGAAAGCTAATTAAGAAAATAGCCCTACGAGCAGCCCCAGGACTGGGAGGGCCAAACACTAGGCTTTGGCAACATCTGATCGCACTTCCTGACAGTGAATAGAAGGCAGAAGCCGTGGGCACACACCACTCCTCGCTGGGAGCTCGCTCTGGCTGGAAGGCTCGCTCTGTTCCTGCCAGCGCACACGTTTGAATCCTAACGGAACTCTCCCAGCTTCGGGGCAAATCTTTCTGGTGCGTGAACCCTGCCATCTCCCTTCCCTCTGAGGCTCTCTTCCATTCTCACCCCCAGCCCCTAGGAAGCTTCTCAGACACTTCAAAAGTCAGTCGCTCAGACACCGCTTGGGTGGTTGGAATATAAATGCTCGAGCGTCTCGACATCTTCCACGGGGATCTGTAAAGGAGACTTCAAAGAAACAGCTCTCCCGCTTTGAGAATCTCCCATATAAGTCATAAATAAAAATAACTGCTCCGTGCCGCGTATCTCTGATCTCACCCAGGGAAGGGTTTATTAAACAGGCCTGCAAGAAGGCCAGGGATCATACCCACAGGCCTCTGCGAGCGCTCGTGCAGTCTCTGGGGTCATCTAACCTCTTCCAAACACTGAAAATACTTGAAAATCAGGCTTTGGTTGTCAGGGAAGAGGGGTAGATGATCGCTAGCCTTTTATGAGAACTGAATCAGTGTTTGAAAAGAAGGAAGACTATGTATCTTTTCTGAAATTAAAAACTCGGAGTGTCTTACTTCTGGATATGGCATTTTTTTCTCCTATTTTAAAGAGCATTGTTATTACACATTGTGTACAGAATAGAGGACAATGTTGGAGTGAAGAGGAAAAGCTTAGAAGTGAGCTAGTGCCCACCCTTCCAGTTACACATAAGGAAACACAATGGAAGGATTTAAACCGTGTGTCCTACCTCCACACGTAGGGAAAGAACTGAGGGGGAAAAAATAAAGCAGGCACTCTGCGCCTGATCCTCAGCTTCCTTACTAGGAAAACGGAATGAGAGCACCTACCTTAGAGATGGAGAGGATCACATGAAGAGACGCCTGGAAAGAACAAAGCCCAGTCACTGGCACATCGTAGGAGGTAAATAAATGTTAGCGGCTGAGGTGGTAACTGCCGCCCTGGCACAGCAGAGTGGCCTCAATCCCACCTGCAGGTCAGAATTATCTGCGGTGTTTTCTCAGTAACACTCGAGCCCAGCTGCAGACATTCTGAGTCAATCGGCCTGGGGTCCAGTGTAGGTGCAATTGAAGGAATAGAGGACTCTGATGGGCAGCCAAGGTTAAAACCTACTAGCCTAGGTCAGTGGTCAGCAAACTCATGAGTCAACAGAGCCAAATACCAACAGTACAACGATCGAAATTTCTTTGGAGAGCCAAATTTTTTCAACTTAAACTTCTTCTAACGCCACTTCTTCAAAATAGATTCGCCCAGGCCGTGGTATCCACACTCAAGGGGCGAAAGAGCCGCATGTGGCTTGCGAGCCACAGTTTGCTGACCACTGGCCTAAGTGGTCTAGAGAGAAAGGCAGAGACCTTGTATCCTCAATACTGGCTAAGTATCAGGCAGATGGTAAAGGAAGAGAAAGGGAGTGGGGAGGGGAGCGAGATTTAAAATACTATGGAAAGGTTTAAAAATTTTTTCAGCCTGGCTGGTGTGACTCGATGTGTTAAATATTGACCTATGAACCAGGAAATCACAGTTCAATTCCTGGTCAGGGCACATTCCTAGGTTTTGGGCTCCATCCCCAGTAGGGGGCTTGCAGGAGACGGACAATCCATGATTCTCATCATTGATGTTTCTCTCTCTCTCCCTCCCTCTCTCTCTCCCTGCCTCTCTGAACTCAATAAAAATATTTTTAAAAATATTTTAATGACATTTTTTCCCCATACCAAGTGTGTGGTTGCTACATACAAAAGATAAACCACAATGGCCAACCTAATGGAAATGGAGTGATTAGAAAGCCTTGGTGACAGTCTTATTAAAACAAGGTTCTCATCTGTCTGTAAGCTGGGAAGCATGCTACTACGGCTGAAAGACTGGAAAACGCCCAGATTAACAAGGTGGCAGTCATTTAATGCAGAACTCAGTGAACGTAAAGAGACAACAGGCAGGACTTCAAACAATACTGCATAGTGTCACGAAATAGCTCTTAACACAGCTGATCTGCTTTCCTTATGATTTCGATTCCAATACAACGACGGAGAAGAGACTTCAATTAAAAAATAAATAAGGCAACAGAAGAAGAATCCTCCTGGGGCAAGGAACGTCCACAGACATTTGGTGCCAACACAAACGAGACACCATCAGGACAAGTTCTGAAGAGGCGTGTATGAAAATGTAACAAGCATGGCCCAACAACAAGAAAATTAGACTTGCTTTGCGATGAATCCTTTTGCAAAGAGAAATGACTCTCAGGTCATTGTTATATACAAACGTTCTGCGATAGGTGGCAATCCTACCGATCCCTCCACCACCACCTCCTCCTGGTCTGAAACCTAGACGTGTTCCATGGCACTGGCTCCCTATTCCTCACAGTCAAAGCGTACGTAGTCCTTAAAGCACTTGAGTCCACAGTAGTCTTGTCCTTAGGAGGGTGGGGAGGTTGGTATCAGTCCTCCAGAGACGGCTGGCAGGCAACAGGCTGGAATGTCAGAGACCGCTTTGTGCTTGGGATCCTGATGCGAACGCCACTCCGTTCCCCTCGGGAGTCCTCTGCCCCGTGGACAGGCCACCGAGCGGTGACCTTGAGGGTGGACAGTCATACCGTGGAGTCCCTGCCAGACTTGAGCTGCGCCATCTTGGTCCGGCTAATGAAAGGGTAAGCGATGCAGAGCCCTCCGGCTGCCACGATGAAGCCCAAGCTGCACCAGGCGCAGAAGATGGACCAGCCGTAGCCGTGTTCCACGTCGTCGGGCAGGCTGTAGATCAGCTTCGGGAGGCGGTGCAAGTCATAGGAGATGCTGGCGGCGTACGTGCAGAGGGAAATGGTGCAAAAGATCCCTGTAAATAAGACAAAGAGGGCCAAGGATCAGTGGCAGTGTTGCCGGCTACACACAAGGCCCAATGCCAGGCTGGCCTTTGTGAGAATCAGACCAACCAAAGAGGCCATCACTCCAAATTAAGAAAGGATCTATCATTTTTTTGGACTTGAATTACTTCATTCAGCAAAGGTTGGCAAAACCTGTATGTGCCAGACTGTGGGCTAGGCATTGTAGATACAGGAATGAAGGACCAGGGGAGAATTCTAATAGCTTGAATTATCCAGAATTATCTTGCTTGAATGGTACGTATATTTAAATGTATATTTGTTTCCTTTAGAAGTTAATAAAAATAGTAATTATTTTTAAAACTCTTCTGTAACCACTCAAATCTAATGTAAAAGTTTTCATTTCCCTTGTTCCATACCTGATTTGCCCCATTTTTATTTTATTATTCATTTATTTGTTTTAAATATATATGTTTCTTCATTGATTTCAGAGAGGAAGGGGGAGAGAGAGATAGAATGAGAATCATTGATTGGCTGCCTCCTGAATGCCCCCTATGGGGATTGAACCCACAACCTGGGCATATGCCCTTGGCCAGAATCGAACCTGCGACCCTTCAGTCTGCAGGCCAATGCTCCATCCACTGAGACAAACTGGTTGGGGTTCCCCATTTTTATATGACTGCAATCATCCTACAAAGCCTGCTTTCTCTTTGAATTACCACCAGCATTAGTGCTTGCCATGTTGCCTGTAAATAATATTTTGAATTAATTTTTACAAGTGCTAAATCATTTCTTAAATTACACAGCCTGGCACATACTAGGGCCTCAACAAATCGTGTGTGTGTGTGTGTGTGTGTGTGTGTGTGTGTGTTTAATGAATGACTAAAAACTTTTAAATAATATAATTAAATCTAGGAAATGGGAAATGATGTAAAAATAGCTGAGCAAACAGGTCATATACTTCAACCACTCCAAATATAGGCAATTTGGGTGATATAAATGGACAGACCTGAAATTTTACTTTTTTATACCAACACATGGATCATTGTCCTTCCAATAAATCGGGACTCTGATAAAAATCCCCGACACAGGCTTTTTAGTTTTCAAGTAATGGTACTCTTCCACCACAATGGATCCCTACGGATGCTCCTTTGGGTGGGCAGGGGATCAGAATGAGGCTGTTGCGGAGCTGAAGATGGGCAATCAAAACCAAACCTGGTCCCCTCTGACCTATGGGAATGCCCACGTTGGTCCCAGCCTTGCACGGCTCTCCTTCGTTCTTTGGTTTGTCCTGTGTACAGTGGAGATCACACTTATTTGCTGGGAAATTGTTTTGGTAACTTTAGGGCCCTTTGCAGCCTCTCCATAGGAAACAGAAGCACAGATTTAAAAGGGGGTATAAGATAACGCCCCCTTTTAAACAGAGCTTTGGGGATCAGAAACACTACCAGAGAAATAAACTCAGAGCTGGCAGCAATAGGGAAGAAATAAAGATGACCTGAATGCATTTTTTTTTTTTAAGTGCTGCAATTCTGCCTCCACTCAAATCATGTAAGAGCACATCGCCTGAATCCTTTTCCAAATGTTCATTTAGAAAAGAAATGTTTTCAATTAAAAGGATGTGTGATCTGAGATAATTTGATATTTTCTACTCGGCCTAATTCTGTTTTTAAACTCTAAAGTGATTGCTTTTCTACAAAGGATAAAAATCTTGTCTTCCGAGTCCTTGCTCCGAAATATAAAGGCAAACATGTCACTTTGAGTTCTCCAAAGAAAGATCATCATAGAAATAATTCTTTCATAAAGGAAGGAACCAGGCAAAAAAAAAGAAGAAGAATATTCCTCTGCTCTTTTCAAATCTTATGAAGAGCAAATGTTCTTACATCTACAAGAATGTTCTCCCTGGCACCAACTCAAAGACAGTGTTTATATATAACAAGGTCCTTCTAACCAATTCTGGGAATAGAACAATAAGGCAGTTAGAAAAAATCTGATTTTCAACAGGTTACAAGATAATAATAGAAAAATGACCTGTTTGCAGGAAAAGGTACTCCATTCTGCATTTAACTGTCTGCACCCAGCTGAATGCTTAAAACAAAGCTTTTTGCCCTGTCTGGGTGGCTCAAGTGATGGGAGCACTGTCCCATCCACCAAAAGGTTGTGGGTTCGATTCCTGTCAGGGTACATACCTAAGTTGCAGGTTTGATCCCCGGTCAGGACTCATAAAGGAGGCAACCCATTTATGTCTCTCTCACATCTATGTTTCTCTCTCCTCTCTCTCTCTTCCTCTCTCACAAAAAAATAAAATAAAATAGAAATCAATAAAAATATATATATATCCTTGCGTGAGGATTTTTTTTTAAAAAGTATTTCTACAAGTAACATGGTTTTAATGACCTCTGAAAGCTTGAGCTAATCACTGTGCAACCTTAAAATTACCTAGCCTTGCTAAGCCTTTATTTCTTCAGCTAGGAAAAAGAGAGGGGTGGTGGGGAGCTGGTTACTGAAGTCCCTTACAGGGTCAAATTTCTGTAATTCAGTTATCCCAAAATGTGGCATAGGTTCCGAAAACGTCCTAGCGAATCTAGTGTCTGGTAAGATGCACCTAAATAAAAAATAGATTGTCCTGGATTTTCTTTCTGTATTGACTCCCTTTGATTTTGCACTCAACATTGATTTTTTTTTTTTTTTTAGCACCTCTCCCCTGCCAACGCCATAAAATTGCGTTTGGTGAGATGAAGCTTAGCAGAAAGGGATGATCAGAAACCATCCAACCTGCAGCTGTACTGGAGGCTGGTTTTCTCTGCCCTAAGCGTCTGGGGTGGTGGTGCTCTCCCCGGGCACTTGGTTTGTGCTTACTTCATGGACACTGTGAACGTGTCACTGATAAAATGTAGTCCTTAGACTGAGTGGCCAGAATGCTGAAACTCCCTAACACTAAATCAGGGGCCCACCACGGGCAAAAGTCGAGGACTTTATGGCATGCTTTTTTGCTACTAAGTGCACCCTTGGATCCATCATGTCTTGCAAACCTGATTGCTCGTCTTATTTCTATGACTTGTTATTTATTTTATCATAAGATATTATATGAGGTTCTGTTCCATTGAAGTTCTTTTTGGCATAGGGCACTCCTCAAACCTTGATGAAAACCTGCTTTATTTTCTGAGGCCTTGCCTCACTTAGCTGACCGTGGTAAAAAGGGTTACCATGAGCCCACAAATATGCCTCCATCTGCCCTTCCTCTGCCCCCACAGGCTGGTCTTCAGTGACATTGTCTCATCTTTCCAAGGTGTCCTGGACGTTGTTCCAAACCAGAGGAAAGCCAAGGTTAACAAAAGAGTATATCTGCGAGTGTCTCCTTTTTAGAGGCTCACACCTCTAAGAAGTTCCCACACATATCATTTGTGGGATGGGCAGGACTGGTTTTGAAATACGACAAGGAAAGGTACGAAGACTAGACAAAGCGTTGTGTCTTGTAAAAAAAAAAAAAAAAAAAAAAAAAAAAAGGCCTGACACATTCTAGGTATTTTAAAAAGCAAAAATAAAACCATCTTATTTAAAAGGCACCAAGAAAGAGTGCTGTTTACATGATGAAGACATCTTTGTTGTACCTGGGTTGTTAGTCCTAGGCCAGATTTATGCCATGGAATTCCATTTTGGTTCCAGATCTATGATTAAAAAAATCATAATATGCTAATTAGACCAGGCAGTCGAACGACCTTCTGGATGTCCTTCTGGATGAAGCCGGGGCTGGGAGGACTGAGCCCCTGGCATGAATTTCGTGCATCGGGCCTCTAGTTTTAAATAACACTGCCATTTGGTCAGCAGCAATCCAGTTAATGGGACATGGGCATGAGAAGATAAGGTACCACCCCTGCATTCTAAAGTTCCAAATCTAATGGTCCTTCCTAAAACCCATGAGGAGAGAAGCTGCCTCTCCTCCATTCTTCTCAGAGGTTTTCCTTCCCTCTTGCTTCTCCCCGGACCAGCTGGGAGTGACGGTGGCTCCCACGGCTACCTTTCAGCCCAGCTGGTGGCGCCCAGGGAAAGAAGTCCCACGCTCAGTCCTGGCTATTGCCAAGAGCATCTTCAAAAGGGTGAATAATTACTGGCTCTGTAAAGCCCTGCATGCAGCTCCTTTTCTTATAAAATATTAAGAGGGTTTCTGCCAATATTCTTAATTAGAAAATTCCATGATATCACAAGATTATGGGGCTGGAGGGGATATTTTCGGGTCGAGACAGAGAAAATTTATGCGGCCATCCCAGATCATCAACCTAATTTCCCTCCCTGAAATCCTCATGGCGCCCATGGCCAGCTGGTAGGATGTAATTAGGGTAACTTGGCCCATTCTTTGGAGCATCCTCCTTTGATGTGCTTAAAAGGCTGAAAGGAGAAGAAGTTGCTTCACCCTGGTTAGCCTGCTTGATAAATAACATAACTGCAATGCCCAAAGGCATAAACATTGACTCCCCTGCTCTCCTTCCCTCCCGCCCCCTCCCGCCTTTTTCAAAGAATGACCTGCCCATCATCCTGGTCTCTTTGTAATTTCCAGAAAGAAAAAAAGAAAAGAAAAAATGCCTCATGCTACTTTTCACACAGATTGAATGACTGGGCAGGAGTAATAGAGACAGACAAAACTTTACAAAAAAAACAAAATGAAAACCCTCACCAAAATAAATCTAAAAAAATCCACAATCTGCAATTATTAAATCCCCAGACACCCACCCTATTCCTGAAGGATTGCAGCAATCTCTTTTAAAGGCAGAGCCTGACCTGATGGGACGTGGGCTATTTATAGTCCGCATCGATCCCGCGCAGGATATGTTTTGCTGCAGACATGTTAATGCATTTGATTACAGGCCTTGCGGAAGGTGTTGGATAATATATGCACCATGTTCCCTTTCTAAAGGAAAACTTGAACATCCGGGATTCCAAAGCCTACCTGGCCCCAAGGGTTTCAGAGAAGGCTTTGAGGACTTGTGGTTTTAAGTCATAATCAATGGATAACCTA